TGGTTTTTTCAAATTTTCTAAAGGATTAAGGCAAGGTGATAACATTTCCCCCGCTCTTTTTATCATTGCTATGGAGTATTTTTCTAGGGGCATAGAAGATTTATATTTAAGGAACCCTAAACTTTTCTATCGTACTATTCGGGGTATCCCTATTTCTCACCTTAGTTTTGCTGATTATTTCATTATGTTCTCTAATGGCTCTATTAATAACATTAGATTGTTGAACAATTTCCTTTTACATTTCAATACTGTTAGCGGTTTGGCCATTAATAACGAGAAAAGTAGTTTCATTGCTAGCAAGACTATTATTAGTGAAAGGATTATGGCTATCCAAAGAATTTGTGGTTTTCAGTCCAAGTCTTTGCCCATTAAGTACTTGGGTACCCCTATCTTCAAAGATAAAAAGAGAAGTCATTTGTTTGAAGATATTTTTACTAGCTTGCAAAAAAAAAATAACTCATTGGTCGTCTAATTTTCTTTCTTTTGGAGGTAGACTAGTTCTTATCAAATCTGTCTTAAATTCTATTCCTATTTATTTACTTCATACCCTTCAACCTACTGCTGCTATTTGCCTTAGAATTGAAAGAATTATAAACAAGTACTTTTGGGGCTCCAAGTTCAGTAATGGTATTCGTTGGGCCTCTTGGAACAAAATTTGTGGTATTTATAAAGAAGGTGGATTAGGTTGTAAAAATTTATCGGACATGACTCATGCTTTTTCTCACAAACTCTGGTTCTCTTTCAGGACTAAGTCCAGTTTTTGGGCTCCTTTTATGTATGCCAAATATTGTAAAGAATCTCATCCCTTACTTGGTGTTTATAAAGCTTCTGACTCTTTGACCTGGAAAAGGCTTTGTAAAATTAAATGGGAGGCTGAGAAATTTTCATCCAATGGGGTCTAGGTAAAGGTAACATTTTCTTTTGGCAAGATAATTGGTTGGGTCCTCATTCTATTGATAATTTTTTGAATACTCACTCTACTGATAATGCTAAAGTCTTTGATTTTATTTTTAATGGCTGCTGGAATGTGTCCAATTTTTTGGAGTGCATTCCTCCCTTTCTTATTGATATGATTGTGGTAATCCCCTTAGATTTGTTATGCAATGACAAAATCCTGTTTAATCTATCCTCTTCGGGTAAATTTCAAATTAAAAATGTCTGGGATACTTATAGAATCAATTATGATTCTTCGATTATTTTTTCTGCTTTATGGCATTACAATATTCCTGTTTCTTATTCTATTTTAGCTTGGAGATGCCTTAGAGGTTTCATTTATATGGATGATTTACTCCAGAAGAAAGGGTTTATTTTTCCGTCCAAATGTCAATGCTGTTCCAACATTGAAACTGTTAATCATCTTTTTGTGAATGGTAAAATTGCTCAAAAGGTTTGGTATTATTTTACTAATTTGGTTAATATTAATTATGGAGTTACTGTCAATGATTTACCTAGTTTACTTAATGGGTGGATGACTCCTTCTAAAGGCCACATTCTCAAATTACTTCCTATTCTTATTATGTGGTTCATTTGGAAAGCCAGAAATGAAGCGAAACACAATGGCATTAACATGAATGCTGATATGATCATCTCTAATATTAACTGTAAAATCCAGCATCTTTTCTCTTGTAAACTTATATCGGCTAAGCATTTTACCAATTGTAGAGCTTTTGCTGCTACTCTTGGTATACATTTGGGTGATGGGAAGTTAATGGGTTTCGATAAATTAGTTACTTGGATCAAACCGAAGTTGCCTTTTGTTAAACTAAACTCTGATGGTTCTATTAAGAACCATTGTGCTAGTATGGGAGGTCTTATCCGGGATCATTATGGTAAGGTTTTAGCAGTTTTTGCTGGCCCTTTAAACAATTGCTCTGTTATCACTGCTGAACTTACTGCTCTGTCTTATGGTATTGACATTTGCACCAAAATAGGTTGTAATAATATTTGGATTGAGGTGGATGCCCAACTTGTGGTTCAAATAATTAACAATGTTGTGTTGGGCAATCCTCATAATTTCTATTTGATCAGGAAAATTAAGATGTCTTTGTCTACTATCAATTATTCAATTACTCATATTTATCGTGAAGCTAACGCTTGTGCGGATTGGCTGGCTAATTTTGGGTGTCTCATGGAAAATTATCATGAATTGAACATCAATTCCTTACATCCGGTTCTTAAAGGTATGATTACCCTTGATAAAGCTTCTTTACCCTATATTCGCCATGTTTAATGCTATTCTATGCCCGACTCCTCTGTTTTCCTGCTTAGTTGCTCAGTGGATTGTTTTGGTTATGTGTTCTCATTTTTTTGTTTCAAAGGTTATTGGGAACATGTTAACTAATTTGCATAGTTTTTTGGTTCTTTACGGGGGTCTCTTTTATGATATGTTGTTTCTTTGGTTTTTTAGAGGCCCTGGCTGTTTTTTTTAGGCTTTAAAGGACTTAGAGAATTGCTTTTCTGGGTGTTCAGTGTGTCAATCACTCGTTTTGGAGTTCCATTTTATGCTCTATGCCCTATGCTTTCAAGTTTAAGGTTTTTAATCTTTTTGGGTTGAAAGAGGAGCTTAACCTGGTTTGTTGCTGGATTTTATTCTTGTTATCTACGACTAATGATTATTGTTTTGACTTGGCCTCGTTGAAGGAGGAGGATTACCAGGTTTTCTGTCTGGCTGCATGTATCTCTGGTAACAACATTTGGTTTTGGCTGGAGATTGTTTATAATCCTTGTCATAAGAAATACAGTAGAATTCAGAAACACTCTCTTTATTGTATTAACTGGTTTCTTATTAATTTTTTCCTTTTGGAGAATCTCTTGCAGGTTACAGTTCAACTATTTTTTTGGGAGCTTTAATGACTGTAAGGTTCTCTACTTTTCCTTTGTTCTTCTGTTGTTTTGCAGGAAGACTAAGCTGAACAAGTTTATCTGGATCGTCCTTTTTTTGGTGTTGTCTACTCACAGCCCATGTCCTTATTTACGTTATTTTTGTAACTTTAGGAAAAGGAACCACCGGCTCTTATGCTTTTTTATTTTCATTTTGATTGTAGCTCTCCGGAGCAGTAGCGAACTGGTGGGTCCTTCTAAGGACTTTGTAACTGATTTTTGGATTTAACACGTAGGCCCCTCCGTGGGTTTAAAAAAAAAGATAATGATTTATATGCAAATCCCATCTTCACAGAATTTTCCTAACAGCCGCATTAACAAAGGCAATGATTTATAAATTAATGATCAAATAAATAGCTTTATCGAGCTTCTTATCGATCTTAATGTCGAGCTTGTTCACGAACTTCAAATGATGTTGTTCACGAACATAAATGAGTCGAATGCATTAGTGTTCAAATTTGTTTATTTAAGATTAGAATATTTAAAATATTGTTCAATTTTGTTTGCTTAGTTAATTAAACAATCACAAATGAGCTTTAATCGAACCGAACAACGAGTAGCTCGTCGAACGTTTGGTTCGCTTGCAGCCCTAGTTGTTGGTCTTGCAGGTCTCTTCGAATCAGGTGTCTCTCACGGTCTTGTGGGACCTCATTTTTAAGTTTATTTGGTTGATGTTCGTGTTGCTTTACCCTATGTTCACTCTTCTTTGCTGGATGGTGGTATTGGCAATTCTAATATGGTTTGCTTAGATTTTAATGCCTTTGCTATCAATAATTCTATTTTGCAAGTAATTTCTACTTTAAAGTTGGCTTTTTTCGTTCAGGGAGCTTGTAAGGATGCTAATGTTGAGGTTAAAATTATGCCGATAACATCTGCTTCTGATTTAAACGATGCTGATTCAATTGTTGTTGGCATGGAAGTGCCGAAGGAAGGTTTTTCTAATTTAAACCTTAGGAATTTGAATTCAAAAAACATGGGGATTTGTGGTGTTAACAAGGTGGTTTTAAATAAGTCTTCTAGGGCCATGGTTGTAGCTTGTGATGGTTCTCCAATTACTTCATTGGAAACGTTTGTTTTACCTATTAGTGTGCTCTTTATCGATGTCCCGATTAATCTTATTTCAAATAATGAGTTGAAAGTTCATTTGGAGTTGAAAGTGAAAGATTCTTGTGAGGAGCAATCGAATTGGCTTGATGACACCTTTCCTTCGCCTTGTGGGTGAGTTGGGGAAGGCTTTGTGGGCATGATGATGAGTTTCAAATTTTATATAATTTAAATGTGGGTTGTATTGTTAATAAGGATTTTTTCATTGGTGGTGAAAGTGTCGCAGGCATAAATCTAAAAAGTAGGTTTGGTTTATATGGTTTTTCTTTCATTGGTTGTTACCATTCTTAGTGTTGGTTGATGTGCTCTCTTAGTCATGGGGATCTATGTGGTTATTGGCTATGTTGTGGATGTTGCCTCTTGTGGCTGCTTTTTTTTTTTTTTTTTATCCTTTTTTAGCCATTTTTTTATCTGGACAATGATGCGGAGGTATTCTACATGCTGCCTGGTTAGCCTTAGCTTGCTGGAAGCCTTGGTGGTTCAGCTTGTGTGCTTCGTAGTTTTTCTTTGATTGCCTTGTGGCTTACTACCTCCAATGGATGGTCGGGGTGGTAGCAGCATACTTCTTGCCACCTTCTGAGGTCGATAGGTTTCTTTCCCTTATTCACTCTAAGGCTTTCTGATTTTTGCTCATTTCTTTTGGAGTTCAATTTCTCTAGTGTTGTATTTTGTTTATGCTCTTTTGGGCTCTTTTGGGCTCTTTTGGGCTCTTTTGGGCCTTCATTGTAATCTTTTTCTTATTGAAAAAAAAGATATAATATTAAATAAGTAATAAATGCCTCACCCACGACTACTAATTAAGCCTATTCCCAACGAACACAGAATGTTTGCAACACCACCATCACTTTCCAAACCTCCAACTCTTAGGAAATCATAAGCGATTACTCCAAATGTTTTCTTCCAAAATGCAATATTGTCCAAATTCTTTTTATTCATATTTTTAAACCCCTTTTATGCTTAAAAATCCTGAAAGCGAACATCTACATTCATAAAATCTAAAAGTTAAAAAGTATATAACAATCCTAATTATATATTTTTCCCCAGAAAATATGATTAGTTAGAATATGTGCTTTATTACACAAAGGAAATAATCACCTCGGATTACAGTACAAATAAGAAAAAAAATGCACACAATCACACCAAACAAGTACAGATTGGGCCATGAAAGCTTACAAGCTAAAACACCAAGCTTCTTCACCCTTCTTATTGACCAAACTACATAAACAATAGTATAATTCTTGAGGCCAGAAAATAAAGCATCTGCCTCAGTACAAGCCACCGCCAGTCTCGTGCGCAGTCCGGTTTGTTTCAGTGCCGGCAAGTGGCCCATCAGTCCTGTGCAATCCCCCGGCCCCGCTGGTCGGCTCAACTAAACCGATATGGTGTCGAACTCCTGTGTGATGGTCACCCAAGCCAGTTTGAGGTACGACACCATTGTGATGCCCATCCAAGCCGGTTCCGGTTTGGTGGCCGACTCCTAAGTGCTGTGCTTCTCCTTTTAGTATGGCATTCTCCTTGTACGCCTGCTGCTTCATCAGCTCAGCTTGACGAATCTTCTCCTCCTTCCTTTCCTCCGCCATTTCCTTTTGCAGTGGATCCCTTGTCTTCATTTTCTCGATCTGCAGAGAAATAGCTACATTATTAAATCGCAATTACGAAAATTTTTTCCAAATGGTAATATTTTCTAAAAGCAGTTAAAATTGTTAGCTGCTGGTTGCTATTTGAAAATCAAATTTGACATAACTGTCAACGGATAGTTTTAAGTGATTATGATGAAAAACAAACGGTCATGTGGAAAAGCAGGGAGAGGGAAAATTATTATCTGGAAATCAATTTAAAATTTGACACGTGGAGTAGACAAGTTGGTTTTATTTTTTATTTTATATATTTAATGTGTCCGCAAAATTTTAAGTCAAGCACAGTGAAAGCACAAGCGAAATGTAGGTAAAGCGTAAATAAAGCATAGTAGAAGCGCAGTAAAAAGCGCAACAAAATAGCACTTAAAATGCAACTAAAGTGCATGTAAAGCGCAAGTAAAGCGCACACAAAGCACAGTAAAAAATCGTAACAAAAGAACAATCAAAGCGTAACTAAAGTGTAGATAAAGTGAACAAAAAATGCAGCCAAAGTGCACTCCACGTGTCAAATTTTAAATGAATATCCGAACGTAACTCTACGTCCGGTATCCGCATCTAATAATTTTCCCAGGGAGAGACGACAACGAAGAAATTGACAAATTAATAAAAGATTTAGATTTTTTTCCTTTTCTTAGAAATAAAATTGCTTCAAGATTAAACTTCTTTTTAACCACTGAACCACTCCGAAATTTTTCACTTAAACCACCATTTCTTATCTGAACCGCCATTAGTTTACCTGATCACATTCTACAACCAAAATAAGCATTTTTAACTGGACAATTCATCACCCAATCTATTCATCTATTTGGATAGATAGTTTGATCTTAACTTTAATGCGAATGTGCGAATAGTTGCATTATATTCGTTAGAAGATTTATACTTCAGTCCTTTTTAATGTATAGATTATGGGCGTAAGTTTAGATTAAAGGCCTGTTTAAGAATAATTAACCAGCAAGTTAACAAAAGATACAAGGGATGATTATGAAGGAACCTTTTCTTCGGCGGTAGCCTTCGTCTTGTCCATGCCAGCCTTAGCGGTTGCACCGATGTTCAAGACCTTCTCCTTGGCGGCTTCCATCGCGAACTGATCCTTGTTATTTTTCTTAACAATAGAATAACACACAGAAACTTGAAGATTGCGAGTTGGGATTTCAGAGGGGCTGGTCATTATATAGCTCAGTCATTGCCGGGGAGAGTCGCCACGTTATGGTGCACGTCATGAAATGGCTCTTTTATATTTTATGACGTGCAGAGCTTCTAATGCCAGAATTTCCTCGCCATACATTTGTCATAAACGACAAATGATATCGTGACTGTTTCAATAAAGCCTGCAATATCTGTTTATTTTTTTGGATAAAGATGAGGAGGAACACAATATGCAGTAGATAAGGCATAGAGTACATTTTTTTATTGAAAATTTAGAATTTTCTTTTGTTTGATGTGGAAGTTGTAGCATTTGTGCTGGGTGTTGGAAAATTTTTGACAATTTTTAATTTATCAAATTTTTTATGATAATATATTGTTTAATGTGTGATTCAAAAAATGTTAAAGAATATATAGAGATGATAATTAAAGACATTAAATTTATTGCGTACTGGAATATTCGTGGCGACAGAGAAATATATAGTTTAACATCTTAGTTTTGTACGAAGACCCAGAATGCAATCAAATAAAATAAAAATTGTGCAACATTTATAAGACACATCAACATTTTTACGTGGAAAACCTTGAAAGGAAAAAAATCACGGGGTCTGGACCAGTTTGAATGAATTCAATAGTATTTGCAGTTGATTACAAATGAGACCCTTCATTGGTGGGAAGGCCTTGACTTGATATAACAAATATACATCGTATAGAGTGTTTTACAAGGTTGAAATAGAAAAAATCACTGTTCACGTGTTTGTTTGGCCAGAAAGATCATAGTCGGTGGGCGACGAAGGTTGGAAAGATCGTATTCAGACAGCGACGGAGGAGGTCGGAAGGACAGTAGTCCGCAGTCGACGAAGGCCATAAAGATCGTTGTCTGACGAAGAAAGTTGGAATGATCATAATCGGGCGACAAAGGTTGGAAGGATAGTAGTCAGCGGCAACGGAGGTCATAAAGACCATTTTCTGGCAACTAAAACTAGAAATATCATAGTTGGCAAGCGATGAAAGTCGGAAGGATTGTTGTCTGACAATAGATGCCAAAAGGACCATAATTGGTGGGCGATGGAGGTTGTAAGGACCATAGTTGGCGAGCAACGGAGGTCAAAAAGACCGTTGTCTTTCGACGGAGGTCGGAAGGACTATTAGCAAGCGGAAGTCCGGTGTCGGGTATAAATCTAGTGATGGGTCGAAGTCCGGCATCTGGTAGAAGTCCGACGACTGGTGGAAGTCCAGCGTCAGGTAAAAATTCAACAACGGGCGAAAGTCTGGTGTTGGGTAGAATTCTGGCGATGGACATAAGCTTGGTGAAGGGTGGAAGTCTAGCATCGGGTAGAAATCTGGCGACGGATAAAAGTCTAGCGTTAAGTAGAAATCCGACGACAGGTCGAAGTTTGGTGTCAATTTGTGGCCTGGCAAAAAATTTAGTGTCAATTGGTTCCTGGGCAAAAATCTAGCTTCCACCAGTAGCTGGGCAAAAAGCCACCGATGGTCGGTGGCTGGGCTAAAGTCCGACAGTGGTCAAGAAAAAGTCTTTTGGCAAGAGAACTCTTATTTTTCTTTCTTCTCTTCCTTCTCTTCTTGCTTGGGCCTCCTTCCTCCCTCTTCCTCAATGATGCATTAAGGTCTATTTATAGTTTTCTATGAGTGGCATGGCCAGTAAATATGAGGAAAATCAAGGATAAATTAGGAGTGGTTTGAATGGATAGCCGATGTTGAATCCCTCAATCGTGGACCATTTATTGGATATGTTTATGTATTAATGATATCAGAATTTGATTATCTTGATCTCATTGGATTTATCTCATCGAGTTGCTCAATTCGACTATAAGAATGTCACGTTTGGAAGCCGTTTGGTCACCCAATTATGGTTTGACCATTCCAAATATGCTTGGAGTCTTCGATTTGGACCCATTTGGGCTGGGATTGAGTCGAATTTGGTGTAGTTGGGTTCATATTTCTGAGACGTTCAATTAGACTATAAGTTTATTGAAATTGGAGTTGAGATAGTCTCCGATTTAATTTTTTAAGTTTCCAACTTGATTTTTCTTCGAGATTCATGCTTGATCAACATAATATTTTTGATGATATATGAAAGATATTCACTAATAGTCTAACTGATCAAGCTGATGCAACTTTTTTTTGGGTATTCTTCATGTTTTCCAATTTAAATAAAGATAGATTATTAAAAAAATTCATTTTGTAAGAGTTATATCTTCTTTCCCCATTAGGATCAAGGATATCAAAGTCTCAACATCCTGTTAGCCTTCAAATCTGTTGCACACGAAACTCATACTTTAAGAATAAGAAGGTTAATTCTAACACTCCTAGTATTTTATCAGCACATGTCTCATATTTTAATGGTCCATTTGTTGACCATTTTTCTGGCATATTGAGATTTCCTGATCTCAAACTACATATGATATGCCCTTCCAAAATCAACATTAGTTCCCTTTGATTTTCCTTCCTAAAACAAGATTGACATCAAGCAGCCATATTTTCTAGCTTGTGAACAATACTAGTCCTCCACAGAAATTCAAAAATCTAGTTTGGTGAGTTTCACTACAGGAAAAACGCGCATTACCGGCAGACCAAATTCGTGGGAAAATGCCAAAAATCCGTTGGAAATTAGAATTTCCGGCGAATTTCTCACGAATTTTTTTTCGGCGTTAAGACGCACATCGAAAAATTGTTACTAACACAAAAAAAAAAAACCGTCGGAAAATATTTACGGCGAATTTCTGGCGGAAAAAAAATGTCGGAAATTAATCCGGCGAATATACTCTGCCGGAAAAATAAGAAAATGAAAAAAAAAAAAAATTTGAACCCAACCCACCACCCCTGCCCAATTGCCCACTGCCCCGCATCCTGCCCAACCCGCTCTCCCCCTGCAGCCCACGCGATCGGCCCGATTGGCCTCACAAGCTCAAACCCGTGACCCGGGGCTGACCAGCACATGACCCACCCGCTAGCTTGCACCAGGTAAATTTTTCGACGTTAAGACGCACATCGGAAAATTGTTACCGACACAAAAAAAAAACCGTCGGGAAATATTTACGGCGAATTTCTGGTGGAAAAAAATGTCGGAAATTAATCCGGCGAATATACTCTGCCGGAAAAATAAGAAAATGAAAAAAAAAAAAAATTTGAACCAAACCCACCACCCCTGCCCAATTGCCCACTGCCCCGCATCCTGCCCAACCCGCTCTCCCCCTGCAGCCCACGCGATAAAATAATGAATATATTTAAATAATAAACTAAATAAAATATAAACTTAATGAAATATTAAATAATTATAATAATTTATAAAAGCTTAGCTAATTTAATTTAAATTATATTTTATTTAAAATATTTAAAATTAATTTAGATCAAAACGATTATTAAATTTAATTTAACATAAAATATAATAATAATTTTTATAATAAAACAATAAATTTTATAATAATCAATTTTCTAAATTTTTAAATATACTTAAAATAAATTTTTTATTTTTCTAATATTAACATTTTAAATTTTTTAAATCGATTTTCTAATAATTATTTTCCAGGAAATTTATAATTCCGTCGGAAAGATGCTGGAAATTCCGTCGAAAAATTCGTTAAAAAATATGTCGGAAATATCACCAAAAAATCCGTCGGTAAAACGTCGAAAAATACGCTGAAAATTCGCTGGAAAATTCACCGGAAATTATAACGGATTTTTTTCCGCCGAAAAGTCCAACAGAAATCTGCATTTTTCTTGTAATGTTTCCTCATTTAGATGTGTTGTGCTTAAAAGGAAAAGTGTTCGTTGGCTCAATCTTGTCCCAAAAAGTCAAATTATACCAACTATTTCTTATTCTTCCCACATCTTTTTTTAGCTTTAGCACAAAAAAAATCAGACTTGTGGATCATTTAAATTACTTTTGTAAAGAATGTCTTCAATTTTTAAACCTTTCAATATGGTCATCCAAGCATAACAAGAGAATCTCAAAACAAACCTTTTGTGCAAAATAAAAGAATATCATTCTTTCTTGGATAAACCATTTTAAAAACATAACATGAAAATTCTTAAAAGGAGTACGTATGATTGGAGATATAAATAGTAGAAATAATCGTAGAAATATTCATATAAAAATATCATATAGATTCCATCCATTCCAAATAATAATAAATTTAACAACATTAGTATGAAATTCTTCCAAAAAGCGGAAGCAGAGGGAAGAGGCGTCTTCCATAAAGTCAAATATTTATAAATCACCAAACCAAATAAAAGAGTAGAACCATTTAACATCCTCAAAATAAGGGAACAATTCTAAGAAAAATATGAAGCAAAGACATCCGGAAAAAATCTTAGGTTTATAAACCTTTTTCCAAGCTAAATTATGCATTTTCCTAACAAAAATATCAACATGAAATAAAAACTTTGAGTCAATCTTCTTTATGCACTTAAATCAAAATTTTGAAAGAAGAAGACCTCTAACCCAAAAAGAGATGACATTACTAACAGTGAATTATAGATATTGTAATCTTCCATCAAAAGATAGTAATTTTGCTTTCCAACTAGCAAGAAGAGTTTTCATTTTCCCCAACAAAGACTAAAAATCAGAGTAAAGAAGCCTTCTACCAGAAATTAGTAAACCAATATATGTTAAAGTGTTCTGAGCATAACAATATTCAAAATATGACAAATATTATCAGGCACAATGCAATCTTTAGAAAAAATAGCTAAACTTTTAGAATGATTAACAAAAAGCTAAAATATATTTGAGCTTCACAACATTATCAACATAAGCTTCACCAAAAATAAGAACATCATCAGTATATAAGTGTTGAGAAAAAGAATTCCCATCAACTTTCATACCCTTCAAATTTTACATTGCTAAACTTATCATCAAGAAAACTAGATAAAGCATCCATAATAATAAAAAATAAATCGGAAGAAAGAGAACAACCTTGTTGAAGCCCACTTGAAGGACTAGAAAAATCCTTAAAGGGAATCATTAATAGCCACTTAAAAGAAAATATCTTCAATA